TTTTCTTAATCCTGGATAGTATGACTGGAGCACCCCACTTAAGGTGCCCGAGCACCCCTAACTCTAAGGCCTAATGCATCAGATGGTGCTCTACCTGGCCACCTCCAGCTCCTGCCCTGACTTTCCCTCCCAAAGGACATTTCCACTCTGAAGCTGCTCCGCTCATGTGCTTATGGCCTTCATGACAAGCTCTGGGTGGTGGGGGGGGGGGGTCCTTTTCCCGGGTCTGGCTCTGTTCTGAGCCCGAACCCAGAGCTGTGGCTAAGATTTTGCTGTGGTTTCCAATCACAGAGGGTGACTCCAGTATGGTTCCAATTGGGATTTTAATTGGCATTTAATTGGCATTTTAGTTCCAGTTTTGGACTCAGAACTAGATTCCAGTTGTTTCGAGTAGGGACAGCTATCAGTTGTATGTTGGATGTCACTGTGCTGAGATCTACTGGCCATCTCTCCCCCCGACACCCCCATTCTATGCTCCCCTTCTCAGACCTTTCTTTATCTCTCTTCTCTTAGCCTTTCCCGTGAGAGCCTTTTCTCCCCTGTACTCCAAAATTTCTCTAACTTTCTCTTGCAACCCCCTTGAATGCTCCCCTCCATGCAATTCTGGATTTCCAGGTTCAGCTAAACTTGCCCGGGAGCTATGGAGTGATGCTACTCCAAGGACGTGGAAGGACCCACAGGAACTTGCACATTCATGATTTCCTTCTGATTCTCCAGATCATATTCATGGCCAGCCCTCCCACCCTCTTACTAACTGTCATGCACTCCAGGGTAGAGAAGGGGGCTGCATGGGGTACATCTCGGTTTATATAGAGCGCCTCCTATGGGAAGTTCTGGGTACTGCACCTAGAAAGGCCCATCAGGCTAGGACCCAGGTTCTCTGAGGCAAATTTAGCTCTGTTATTCAAATAACAACAAGAAGCAGTGGGGGGAGGGGGGATTTTGTTTATTTAGAGAATTCTCAGCTTGGATGGTCAAGGAGGTCTTCCTCTAGGATGGGGCATTTGAAGGACGCCAGACCGGGCAGTTTCAAATGGGGACAAGTGTGAGGCTCGCCAGCCAGTGATGTGGATGTTATTAAAACAAAAAAATCCTCCCGGCTCCACATCTGACAGATTTCACCTAAACCAGCCTTGCTAAATCTCAGGCCCCATGAAGCCCATTTCTGTTATAATCTCTCTCTCTTATCTCTTCCTTGCCTTCCTTTCCCATTCTCCTCCCCCAAAGGATGGGAAATCTTCAAAGAAAAAGATGTGTCACTGTGAGTATACAGCCCAAGAAATGGGCCAGATAAATTATTAAAACACATAAAAAGAGAGTGAGTCGCGGGGCGGGGAGCCGCCCGAGGCTGCCTAGCCACCCTGGGTGGACAGAGGACCAGGCCCCCTGGCAGCCCCTCCTCAGCCCCGGGCAGGGGAAGAGCTGGCACAAGCGCACTCTTTGGTTTTGTGCCTCAGGGCCAGTTGGGGGGAGAATGTGTGTGAGAGTGTGTGTGTGTGTGTGTGTGTGTGCGTGTGTGTGGTATGTGAGTTTGTGAGTGGTGTGTATGTTGTGTGTGTGTGTTTGGGTATGTGGTGTGTGCTTGTGGTATGTGTGAACGGTGTGTGTGTGGTGGTATGCATTGTGATGTGTCTGTGCGTGACGTGTTGATGTGCGTGGGGGTGTATGAGGTATGTGAGTGTGAATGCGTGTGTGATGTATGAATGTGAGTGGGGTGTGTGAGTGAGTGGTATGTGTGAGAGTGTGTGAGAGAGTGTGTCGTGTGTGTGAGCAAGTGTGTATGTATGTGTATGGTGTGTGTGTGTGAGTGGTGTAAGTATATGAGAGAATGTGTTGGGGTGTGTGTGCATGAGTGTGTGTTGTGTGTGAGTATGTCATGAGTGTGTGATGTGTTCGTGTGTTTTTGAGAGTGTGCTCGCATGTGTATGCACACGTGTTTGTGCGTGCATGTGTGTGTGCATGTGTGTGCATGAGTGTGCATGTGTGTGTATGTGTGTGTGTGTGTGTGTGCAAGTGTGTGTGTATGCATGCCTAGTACCCCCGGGCACCTGCTGGTCTGGGCAGGGCAAGCTGAAGGTGGAGGGGGCCTTTGTGTCAGGACATTTGGGATTTGCTTCCCACAAGATGAAAACTGGTAACTGCAGAGTTTTAGTTCTTGCTTTTATCTCTTTTTGAACTGTAAAAAGAAATTCCCAAGGGGAAGTGGGGATACTTTTTTCTCATGAAAGAAGAAAGCCATGACCGGTTTAAGGAAGTACCCAAGTTTTCTGAGCGCAGAGAAAGCGGACTCAGGGTTTTGCTTTGATTTCCCTGTGGGCTGGCTCCGGTGAGGAGGTGGTGGGGACGGGGACCCACAGAACTCCGGCCACACCCCACAGGCTCTAAAGGGCCTCAGAGGGCTCCCACCCTGACACCCCCGCACCTCCCTCTTCTCGGCACCCCCTCCTCTTCCTTTAGGGTCTTGGTTTCCTACAGCCAGGGTTTCTCTCTTGAACACTATTGATGTTTGGGGCTGGGTGACTCTTGGGGGAGGGGGCAGTGGTGGCTGTCCTGTGTTTGGTGGGGTTTTCAGCTGGGCCAGGTGGCCTTGGTAGATGCCTGTAGGTATTGCCAAATATCCCCTGGGGGCAGAACTGTCCTCTGCCGCCCTTCCCTGCATATGTTCCTGACCAGTCCTCACAGCGGGAGTGCCCTGAGCGTGTCACAGCAGGAGTGCCCTGAGCGTGGAAACTGTGCTCACTGATGCAGCTTCCATGCTCTTTCTGCTACCTGGTCAGTACTGATTTTCAGAGAGAGACTCTACTAATAGAAGTCAGGTTTGGACTGTGTTAAGACAGGTTGATGCAGTGAAAACAAATACGAGCAAGGCATCAACAGGCTTGGGTTTGAGTCCTAAGCGGCTCACCGACAAGCTGTGTGGCCATGAGCAAGTGACTGGGTTTCTCTGAGCCTAGGAGATTTGCTCTTTTGTTGAACAGGCACAAGTCTATGGCATGGCTGTGAGGGTGCTGTGTGACTTAGGATAATGACTGGATGTAGCGGGCATACGATAAAGAATTATAGGATGAGCCATAATATAGGAGTTAAGGGACATAACGGCCAATCCCAGTTGGGTTTCCCTCAGCACATGCCCACCCCCCCGCCCCTGGCGGGCCCACCTCCACCCCCAGCATTACTGGTTGCAGACCTAAAGTCCCCCAGCACCATCAGGGTGGCCCTGGTCATCGAAGGACCCAAGTTGCTTGTATTGAACCAATGACCTTGTAAAGCAAGAATCTCTGGCAGGGGTTCCAAGCCCAGGAGTACCCCTGGCGAGGCCCCCCTAAAGAGAGTCGCAATACAAAATCAACAATGATATTTGGGAGTGAGTTGCAGACTTCAAATGAAGCCACAGTGTGAACCTAATGATAAAGCTGACCTTCACGTCCAGCTTAGTCACACACCAGGAACTGAGTGAGATTCTAGTCTGAGGGAAGGTGGAACCAGGCGCGTTGTGGGGTGAAGATGTTTCCCAGAGCCCTTGGAGCTGTGAAGGTGTGTGAGGTCTCTGCAGAGCAGTGTGCCTGTCCCCCGCCCCTCACCCCTAGCCAGTAGCTACTACCAACAGGGGTCCCCTCACTTGGGAAGGTGCTAGTGTGGGTTGAGGTATCTCTAAGTGTAAATACTCAGTAGATTTCAAAGACTTCGTGCAAAACAGAGAATGTCAACTATTTAATGAGATAATGGACTGGACTAAATTCTGCAAAATTAATTTCATCGCTTTCTTTTCACTTTTTTAAATATATATATATATATATATATATATATATATATATATAAAAAGTGGACCATTACTTACTCTGCCATCTTTCTCCTGCTGAGGCACGAAGTCAGTCAAAGGGGCTGATCTGAGCTACACTTTACAGGCCCCGGAACCAAGGCTCACACAGAAGACCCAGAACCCAGACGCCGGGCAGAGCGGGTCTCCGCTCGGACGCAGGCTGTCCTGTTCCCACGCCCAGGCTGCCAGGTACCGGGGCACAGTTAACAGCAGGCCCACGCGCCCCCCAGCAGAGCAGCCATTCTCTCAGAGAGCCACAAAGGTGGGGTGGGACCCCTTGATGTTGCCCTCCCCTCCGCGGAGAACTCCCCAGACAAAACAAACAAGCCCTCGGGTCTGGCGAGCTGCAGCGGGGAGCGGAAACCACGGAAGATCAAAGAGTCAGCGGTTACCCCCTTCCAGGCCCAGCTGGCAGCGCGCCTCGGCCCAGGGCGGGCACCCTCGGGCCAGGGGCGAGGGGGTCTGCGAGAGGGGCCTGACAAATCCTTCGATGTGTCGCTGCCAGGGGCAGTCTAAGTAGCCTCACAGGCCTTGGGTCACCAAGGGACGCAGGGGATGGTCGTGGTGGTGGTGGTGGTGGTGGGTGGGCGGGGAGTGGGCTGGTCAGCGACCACTCTGCTAAGGTGGTGGGGACTGGCACGGACCGCGCGGCAGATCCAGGCGCCCCGTTCCTCTGGTCTCCTCTCCCGGCCTCAGTTTCTCCACCTTACACCCGACGGCTGAGCCCTGCGCAGCCCACGTCGAGGGAAGAGCGGAGGTCCGGCGCACCAAGACGGCCCGGCCACAGAGGGCAGCTGTCCCGGGGTGCGGTGGGGTGGGTTGGGGACGCGGACCCCAAGGGATGTCACCCCCTGGACGTGTCCTAGCCACTCCCCCCCCCCCCCTTGGATCCCGTACGGCTGAGCCGGGTCCCAGCCCCCGGCGCCCGCAGCTGGACCGGGCGCCGAGTGGGCCCCGCCGGCCCCGCCCCCGGCCCGCCTCGCCTTTGATGCGCCGCGCCCGGCCAATGCGCGCGCGGGGAGGCGCCGGCCGCGGCGGCGGGCTGGGGGCTCGGCGCGCCCGGGCGTCAGTCGGGCCGCGGCCACGGCGGCAGGAGCGCGTCCCGGCGCCGCGTCGGGCTCGGCGGCGCGGGGCTGCCCGGGCAGAGGGAAGAAGAGGAGGAGGAAGAGGAGGAGGAGGAGGAGGAGAGCGAGGCGCGGCGCGGCGAGCCGCAGGGCCCCGCGGCTGGGGCGCATGGCTTAGGGGGGCGCCCCCGCCCGCCGCGCCTCCAGCATGGGGAAACTTCACTCCAAGCCGGGTCAGTGTCCCCGCCCGCGCCGGCCGCCACCGCCCCCCGCGACCCCCGGCCCCGCCGCGCCTCTTGCTAACTCTCTGCCTCTCCTTTCTTTCTGGCTCCCGCCCCGCCGCCGCCGCCGCCGCGATGTGCCTGCAGCCGCCGTGTACAAGCGCAGGGAGAGCCCGGAAGGTAGGGGCGCGCGGGGCACGGCGCGGGGGGCGCTGCGCGGGGGCCCAGCCCGCGGGATCTGGTTACCAGGGCCACCCCCGCCCCCAACCCACCCCGCCACCAGCCCCACAGACCCGCTGGCCGAGCGGGCTGCGTGCGCGCCCCGCCTCTGCCCCCAGCGACCCCCCCCTCCCCTTTCATCCCTCCCCGCGTCCCGGGCTCCCGCTGCTGACCCTTCACCCGTCCTCTCGGGCCCGGTCGGGGACCCCTCTCGCTGCCTGGGCCCCCTCTGCGTACCGCCCCCTTGTTTCTGCACCCCAGCTCCCTCTCCCGAGATCTTTGCCTCCTCCTGCGGCCGCCCTCCCCGGCACCCCTTCTTCTCCCGACGCTCCGTTTCTTTCTTCCCCGACTCACTTCGCGCTCCCGGGACCCGTTTTCTGTTCCCCTCCCCTCCCATCCCCTCCGCAGGGCTGGGTCCTCTGGGGCTCGCTCTTCGCTCTTCGGACTTCCCCGCAGCCCCTTCGTTCCTCACCCGGTGTTGAGCGTCCCCCGTTTCTGCACGCCTCCCCCCACCCCGCCCCACTGCGCCCCTGCCCTTGGGGCGCCGCCGAGCCCCGTCCCAGGGACCGTGGCCCGTCCCCGCGCGGCGCCCCCGCCGCGCCCCGCTCGCTGCTGGCTGGAGGCTCACTTTCAGCTGGGGCCAGACTTAGGGGCTTCGTGTTGTCCCGCCCCAGGTGATAGCTTCGCGGTGAGCGCCGCCTGGGCGCGGAAAGGCATCGAGGAGTGGATCGGGAGGCAGCGCTGCCCCGGCGGCGGCTCGGGACCCCGGCAGCTGCGCTCGGCTGGCACCGTTGGCAGAGGAACCCGGGTACGACCCTCCCGTCATCCCCCCCCCCCCACACGCCCTTTTCGGTTTCAGACGTCCCAACTTTTAGCGCTCTCGGGGCATAGCGTCTGAGTCCAAACATGCCTTCTCCAAGCTGCCTCCCGCTCACCAGCACGTCTGGTGCCCCGTTTGCCTTAGAGGTGGGGGCGGTGGGCAGGGGGTTCGGTGCGGGGAGAGAGGTCCCGTTGACTGGGAAGCTGGTCTGTGCTGGAGGGACCCGAGGCCTCGGCTTCTGCCTTGTTTCTGCCGCCAGCATTCGAAGGTGGATTTGGAGATGGGGCAGAGAATGACATGATAGGGATGTCAGGATGGAGGGTAGCCCCGGGCCAGACCAAAGATCCTGGGTGTCTGTGATGTTCATCAGGATCCTGTGCCCAGGAACCCCAGCAGCGCAAAGCCCCGCAGTGAGAGCTGACTTGGCCTCCCTCTGCCTCCCCCCAGCCCACCCCAGCCCAGCCCTCTCTCTGACCCCCCAACCCCTGCTGCAGTCCTGTCTGGGGAAGCGGTGGTTGTGAGGAGGTGGACGGGAGGGGGGGTTATGAATGAGTGCCGCCCCACTCCTGAGCTGGCACTGGCATTCACGAGTGTCCCAGGAGCTCGCGAACTCCCGCACGGGGCTTTCGGAGAGACGGGCTGCGTGGAACTGAGCGAGCCCAGATCAAAGCACGAATCCACTTTTAGATGTGACATTTAATTATTTATTTTTATTATTTAAAAAAAAAAAAACTTGGGATCAGACTGAGTGTGGGATCTGGCTAGTTCTTTGGTCCTGTTCATGGACTCGGGAGTGACCGATGGAGTCTGGTGGGGGGTGTGGCCCATGGGTGGTGGGACCTCACTCACAGGGGCTCAGCTTCCCTGGAGGGGCTACTGCTGGGTGCAGGGGAGCAAGTCAGTTCTTGTGTCTATGAAATGCCGTGTGTGTGTGTGTGTGTGTGTGTGTGTGTGTGTGTGTGTGTGTGGTAGGGAGGGGGGAGCCGTCGTCCCTCCTCCACTCCTGCTCCTTAGCTGGGTGGGGGCTTTTGCTTTTCTCCTAAGCACTGAGGGAGCAGGACCTGGGTAAAGCTTCGCCGTTGATAGGGTAGGGGGCACGCGGCAAGAGCCCGTTCCAACCTCCACACTGTGCTCACTTCCCCTCCAGGGCGAGGTTTTGATCTACTTACTTATTTAAACACCAATGAAAGTGATCCGATTTAGCTGTAAGAACAAATGCATTTGCAGCTCAAGACACAGGCTGGCCAACTGAGTGGATTTCCATTAATCAAGTTTCTTTTTTCAGCCTGTGTATTTTTTTTTTTACAAAGTATTCCTGCAGAATGACATTTATTTGCAATTCCCTCCCCCCCCCACCCCCAACCTCCTCTTTCCTAAACTGCGAGGCAGCTTGCTCCATGCTTTAGGGGAAACTTGAAATACAGCGAGGGCTTACTTCAATTGACTTTTATCTTCAAAGCCATAACAAATGTTACCCGCATGTTTTTGGTGGGTCTCCTTGGCATCCAGTCCTGGAGCATGGGAGGGAGGAGGAAGGAAGGAGAGGAAAACAAAAGTCTGTCGTTTTTAATTAAATAGTAGTGTTCCCAGCGAGAGGAATGCAGGCCAGTAAAAGTTGCCATTGGGGGAAGTGAGGGGGGCGGAGGAAGGGGGCCCCAGCTTAAGTCTGTGGCTTTGGTGAAGTCACGGAATTCTGTTGCCTGCTGAGGACAGCATAGGATGGTGCTGGGTGGTGGCCCTCCCCACTCCCCCCCACCCGCCCCCTCTCTCCGACGCGCTCAGGGGTCATTCATGTTTGTTCAAAGCACTTTTGAAGATGTGAGACACCAAGGCATCCCTGTGATGCGTGCTGGGTGGCTCTGCCTGCTGAGATCCTGAGGGGAGGGAACCTTCGCTCCCTGGAGACTGGTTCGTGGCCACTGGGACCGGGACACCTGGGTTCCCACCAGCACGGCAGAGTTTGTGAAGGGGAACTGTTGTATTGTTTCTCTTTCTCCCCCCCCCCCAAACTCCCTGAAACTCCCATGAAAACATCAAGCTCTGATTTCAGAGATCTTCATGCTTAGGATGAAATTGAGTTGAAAGAGGTGGTTTGCATACAGAGTCAACTCAGAAAGATAGAACAATGCCAAGGAGTCAAAACAGAGTGTGTGCAGGGCCTGGGGCCTGACCCAAGATTACGGAACCTTGAGACACTGAGTAGGGCAGCAGTGAGCAACCCTCCTAGGGGGAATTTCTGCAACTCCTGGCCGGCTGGGAGCTGGCAGGCTCTTTTGTTATATCACCAGGGGGGAGCCGGGCCTGGGCCCCAGAGGCTGCTGGGTTCCCAGGGCTGGCTGAAGTCCCCAGGCCAGCCCCAGGCTGTTTTGGGGTCTGGCCTGGGTTGCTGCTCCTTCCCTAGCTCTTCACCAAAGTGGTGCCCATCCAACTAGCATTATCATTGTTGCCATGATAATGACTGTTTATTAAGTGCCTGCACATGTCAAGCACTTGGCTTACAGGATCTTAATCCTCTCAGAACCCTGTCCGGCTGCCAGCCAGCTGGTGTGGACTCCGTGTCTGTCCCTTCCTGCAGTACTTTCCAGGTTGCTGGAAGCCAGAGGTGGCCAGTCCTGCCAGAGCATCTGCCGGGAGGGGACCTAGTGACCATGGCCAGGGAGGTGCAGGGAGGCTGGCAGAGGGACAGGTGGATGCAAGAGGAGCCTCTGCTGGCCTTCTCTCTCTCTCTCTCTCTCTTTCTTTCTTTCTTTCTTTCTTTCTTTCTTTCTTTCTGTCTGTCTGTCTGTCTGTCTTTTTTCTTTTTGGGTTATACCTGGCAATGCACAGGGGTTAGTCCTGGCTTTGCACTCAAGAATTACCCCTGGCAGTGCTCAGGGGACCATATGGGATGCTTAGCTGTGTACAAGGCAAATGCCTTACCTGCTGAGCTATCACTCCATCTGCTGGCCTTCTTGCTTGACCCTGAGGAGCGGGGTCTGAATCGCTCCGGCAATATGCAGGGTGGTTCAAGTAGCCAGGCCTGGGGCGGGAGAAGGCACTTGTCCTCTCAAACACCAAATTCCATGAGGTCAGACTCTGCCCCGGTTGCTGCCCACCTTGCCTAAGCCATGTAAGAGTGGCAGGCCTCGGTGGGCTCATCTGTGAGATGGGTACAGGAATATTCTCATTTCTGGCAGATAACTCTGCAGAAAGAGTAGACTGTTTTGGGGGAGGCAGTGGGAGGTTCGTGATGGGATGATGCTGAAGGTTGATGATGAAGTCAGGGGCTCCCCACCCCCGGCCTCCCTCCACTCCATGCTCACTTGGTAGGAGGCACCCAGGCTAAGGCCAGGCCATCGGCCCTCGTCCTGGGTTACTGAGGGAATGCAGGAGAAGGTGAGCTCCCAGGAGGAAGGTATCATGTGATGCTGGGTGCTGCAGGAGACGAACAATACAGCAGAAGGGTTTGTGTGTCCCACAGAAATGCGCTAAGCAACAAGGTACTATACTTAAGTTGGATGATCTCCGAGAGATCAAGGAGGACATTGTAAACAAGAGGCAGACATAGGCGGGTTCCAAGAGAAAACCGAGAGGCGTGGCCATGTCCAGGCAGTACCTTCGGGGGAGCGAAGATGCCGAAGAGATGGCTGGACTGGCATGGATGGAGGTGCAGGGCAGGAAGAGGGCCATGGGGCGGGCACGGTGTGTGCCCGAGCTGGGCTGCGTGCCATATGTGTGTGCCCCTGGAGGTATACCGCGTGGCCCCACCCCGGGCCCTTTTGTTCTTGGAGAGTAGAGCGGCCCTGTGCAGGCCGGGCCCCGGCTCGGGATCAAAGGCGGCTGCCAGGCGGTTTGGTAATTTGATTAAGGGGCGCCGAGTGCATTTTGATATTTGGGGGAGCTGGGGAGGGTGCAGGCCCGGTGGGGACAGATGGGGCTGGGTGATGAGATTGGAGGCTGGCCCAGCTGCTGCCCGAACACCGGATTCCAGGGGAATTACCCTTGAATGATACCAGTTGGCACAATTAAAAGGCCCCCATGTCTTCCCCATATGGAAAGTGTTAGGCCTCCTTACGTGGTTTCAAAGCTATGTGCTGGGAGGTGGACTTGACATTTGAGGTAAAGCATAAATTAAATATTTGGTGTTTCGGAATTAAAAGATGATTTGCGTGGTCTGGGGGGGAGGCCTTAGGGCTCCCCCTCTCCACGGAAGGGCATCATCTCCCTCATCTGCAGGTTCTTGTCCCGGCTAGATAGAACTTAGAAGCCAGGATGAATGGACTGCCAGTTGACAGCTCTTCCTTCCCACACTCACTGAATTAATTATCAGTGATGGGTGGTTAGTAGCCCCGTGGACTGGGGATTAATAAGCAGGATTGCGGGTGCAGTGACCCTGAGAGGCATGGAATGTCCATAGTCCTGGGAGTGGGTGGGGCGTGGTGGCCCTAAGAGGCCTGTGGGAAGAGCCAATGGTGAGCCCTCCTCCTTGGTGGCTCTGGGCACCTGTCTGCACTGTGGCCTCCTGGCCAGCTGGGCCGTGACGCAGGTCTGATGCGTGCTTCCTTGGGTAGACTGGCACTTCCGGGCGGTGGGGCCTGGCTCCAGCTATCTGTGGGTTGGGTGGTCCCTGATGCCTGGGGGCGGGTGGCGGGGGTGGGGTGGTGCTGTCAGCTATAAGTCCTTGGAGCCCAGCTGTGGTAGGATGTGGTGGGGGCCGACTGAGGGGTGGTGGGATGGGCTGTCCCGGTGCCAGGGGGCAAGAGGTGGTGGCCAGCCAGGCTCTGAGCCCAGAGAGGCTGTTTTTGCCTCGGAGAAGAGGCCTCTGGTCTTGGCTTCTCAGATGTGTCAGAAGGGGTGGGTGGGTGGGAAGGGAGCCTCTGACTGAGGGGCGGGGAGCACAAGTGGTCCAGGTGGCTGCTGGCACCGGCAGCTCAGGTACCCCACAATCATCCTAGCCCGGGGTTTCTGTGCCCCCACTGAGGGGCTGTGGATTCCCAGTGTGTTTTGGC